TATATATATATATATATATATATATATATATATATATATATATATATATATATATATTATAATAGAAGAGAAAATAGCTAACAAACTTATAGTTATAATAAGCGCTATAGCTATTGATCGAATAATCTAATAGTAGGTAGATATAATTTTGACGGTTACATTACATATATACATATTGATAGTAAGTAATATAAATTCATCTTCTGGCTTTTAGCTAGCAAAATAGTATTAGTAGCTAGAGCAACTACTCTTAAGGATTAGCAAGTAGTATAGTACTTTAAGATTACAAATATGATTTCGATAGTATAGGCGGCCTTCTAGTATATTGAATAGATTAGCTAATAGGGTGTTTGTATCCGTTAGACTCTCTATATGATTCTATAGCTGTTTGGATAGATTTCTATATAGCATTCTGTAGCTGAGACCTAACTATGCTATTAGTATAGTATATAAGACCCTAGCGTTGTTCCTATACATATAAATAAGCTCTAAAATATAAGAAATATATATTCTAGTCTGCCTTTACATATTATATAATAGAGAAGAAGTATTTATTATTAAGTAGTAGGATATTACTACTAACAAGTTTATAGTAAGTTTTAGCAAACTTGTTATATATATTTAAAGTAATAGTGCTATATTAACAGACCTACTTTAGGAATAAACTTTGCTTTACTTCGATACTTATAGTAAGTATATCTAATTACTAGGCTATCTGTAATATCAAAATAATAGGTCCGTTTCTTACTAAGGCGAAATAACTACTAACTGTAGTTATTGTCCTTATTAATAGCGGAAAGTTATACTATAATACAACAGCTAGCTATTCTTCTTTATATACTGCTTCTTCTTTAATAATCGTCTCGTACGTTGTATAAGTAGTTACCGCCTTAGGATATACTATAGTATACTAATCGCTTATTATAGAAAGCGCTATTATAGAGGTTTAGGGATCTAATAGCGTAGACTATAGTACTAGAATCGTCGTTATTGCTATCAATAGGCTCCGACTAATAATTACTAATAATACTTGCTAATTCGACTATCTCTAAGCTCTCCTCTATTACTTAACGCTACTATTTATCCTTCTCTATTCTTTTGTGCAGCTTGAATCGCTCTAATTATCGTTATTATCGTACTTTCGCCTCTAGTCGAGTAGAGTAGTCTACAATCGAAGTTATACTAAGACTTTGATTAAGGTTTGGCTTCGAACTTTAATCAAAATTAAGTCTGTCTTCTTAGCATTAACAAACACCTATTATATCAACTCTCTATATAGATTCTTAAGAACCTATCTTTAAACCTATTGCTATAGGCTAGTTCTGCATACTTTGTTTTATTATATAGGTCCTAGAAATATAAGAGAGATGCTTTCCTTACTATATAGTTACTAAACTCAAAATTATACTATAATACCTGAATATCCTTCCCCAAACTAACGACTAATATTGCAAATAGCCTGGTTAGGCGCTTCTTACTATTATAGAGGGTCTTAATTAGTTATAGGTTTAGTAAATTAGTAGGGGTATCCAAAAGTTTGATATTTTAGGCCTTAATTTAGGTGCCTAAGGCAGAATGTACGTACTGTACGCAATATAATCCGTACCTACATTCTTTCGCTAGAAGGTACTGCCTACCTACTTTCAGAAGGACTTAAACAAGACAAGGTCCCTAGATAATCGAGACGGAGATAGAGATATAATACCTAATAGTATAGCTCTTTATAAAGAATTCGCTTTATAATAAAAGGCCAAATTACATAGATTCTTTTTAGGATTAGGGCTATAGCTTACTATTCTACTAGATAATAGAATTCGTGAAATTATTGAAGTTACTAATCCAAAATGTAAGGTCGCTAATTTAGACCTAAGGAGTAGAGCAATTAGGCGTAAAACTTGCTTTCCCTAATAAATTTATAAATAGATAGATATAGGCCAAACAAGGGTTTTTATATATGGCGGGCGCCGAAATTATACATAGCGGGCGCCCCGGCGCCAAGACTGTAGCCTTAGGCTGAAACTTCCGAGATTTTCAACTTCTTAGACATATCGCAGTTTCTATATACTTCGCTACTGTAATAGCGATAATACGTACAGTTACAAGCCTATAGTAGCGAAGTATCGGAATGATCGTAGCAATAATATACTAGAAGCCTGCATTTGTTTAACGGTTAGTTGTTAATATATCGCTATATTAAGTTCGGCTTCGGCTAAATACGCGATTGCCGCAGTCTCTATCTATATTACCTACTGCTATTAAGGGTATATCTCTATCTCCTTATTAGCTCGGCTAGAACCGTAGTCTGCCTTAGCGCTAGTATGTCGGCCGCGTAGGCGACGAAACTACTATATTAGCCTTATCTTTACTATTAATCTCGAACTTATTAGGGCTCTCTGTATTATTATCTAGCTCTTGTACCTACGTATCTATAACTGCCTCTTATACCTACGTATCTGTAACTGCAGCTCTACCTCCTCTTAACGCCCTACCTCCTCTTGACGCCCTACCTCCTCTTGACGCCCTACCTCCTCTTAGTCTACCTCGTCTACCTCGTACGCGCGTCGGTAGTAGCGGTAGCACCTACAATACCTCGGCTATAGTAGTAATTCGAGCCTATATTACGGTAAACTAAGCTTGAAACTCGGCGAAGTCGGATAGTAGAGGTTATAGCTAGTATTGACTATGTTAGCTAAGCCGGAGTAACGTTCTCCGCTCATTTTTGGTTAGACTCTATTAACGTCTAATAGCC